GAGTTTCTTGTTTCTGTTTCTGTCTTTTCCCACCATTTCTTTTCCAGACCACCATCATTTATCCTCTGGTCTTCTGGATTATTATTGTGGTTTCTTCTCATTTTAACTGTCCCTCCAAGTCACCCTTCACACTGCTGCCTGAACAATCCTTCTAAAATGTAAACTAGCCATATTACTCCTACTTAGAATACTTTAGTGACTTCTCAGGGCCTCTTTGAAAAAGCTGGACTTTTTAGCATGGACATAACTCCCCTATTTAAAATTTTTTTTCCAATTTCATTTCTTTTTATTCCTACACTTACACTGTATTTAGCTATCTTCAGCTACCTTAAATTCCCATGGATGAATTTTCTTTTCATAAACTTTATTTTAGAATAGATTTAGATTTATAGGAAAATTACAAATATAATACATATTTGATAATACATTATTGATACATAGTCTACACATTTTGGAGTCACATGATAATTTGATATATTTATATAATGTGTAAAGATCAAATCAGGGTTATTGGGCTATCATCCATCACCTTAAATATTTATGCTAGGAACATTTGAATTACTCTCTTCTATTCTGAAATGTGCAATAGATTAAGGTTAACTTAGTCATCCTACTGGTCTATTGAACACTAGGTCTTATTATATCTAACTATATTGTACCCATTAATCAATCTCTTTCATCCACTCTCCCCCCAATCTTTCCTGACTTCTGGTAACCACCAATCTACTCTATTTTCATGAAACCCACTTTTTTATCTCCCACAGGTGAGAACATGTAATATTTGTCTTTCTATGCTTGGCTTATTTCACCTAAAGTAATGACTTACAGTTCTATCCATGTTGCTGCAAATGACAAGATTCCATTCTTTTTTATGGTTGAATAACATTCCATTGTGTATATATACCACATTTTCTTTATCCATCCATGGAGCTTAATTCCATATTTTGGCTATTGTGAATAGTGCTACAATAAACATGAGAGTGCAGATATCTCTTCCATATATTGATTTCCTTTCTTTTGGATATATCCCCAGTAGTGGGACTGCTGGATCATATGGTAGTTCTATTTTCATTTTTTTGAGGAACCACCATACAGTTTTCCATAATGGGCTGTACTAATTTGCATTCCTTACCTGCTGTGTACAAGGGTTCCCCTTTCTCCATATCCTCTCCAGCATCTGTTATTCCGTATTTGATAAAAGCAGTTTTAACTGGGGTGAAATGATATCTCTTGTGGTTTTGATTTTTATTTCCCTGATGATTAGTAATGTTGAGCATTTTTCACATACCTGTTGGCCATTTGTATGTCTTCTTTTGAGAAATGTCTATTGCCCATTAAACGAAATTTTTTTTTTTTTTTAGATAAGGTTTTGCTCTATCACCGAGGTAGGAGTGCAGTGTCTCGATCATAGCTCACTGCAGCCTTGAACACCTGGGCTCAAGCAATCCTCCTGCCTCAGCCTTCTGAGTAGCTGGTACTACAGGTGTGTGCCACCATGCTCAGCTACTTTTTACTTTTTGTAGAGATGGGGTCTCATTATGTTGCCCAGGCTGGTCTCAAACTCCTGACCTCTGGTGATCCTCCTGCCTTAGCCTCCCCAAATGCTAGGATTACAGGTGTGAGCCACTGAGCTCAGCCATTACCCATTTTAAAATCAAATTGTTTTTTTGCTATTGAGTTGTTTGAGCTTCTTATGTTTTCTGGTTATTAATTCCTTGGAGATGCATAGTTTGGAAATATTTTCTCCCATTCTGTGAGTTATCTCTTTACTTTGTTGGTTGTTTCCTTTGCTGTGCAAGAGCTTTTTAATTTGATGTAATTCCACTAGTCTGTTTTTGCTTTTGTTGCCTGTGCTTTTGGAGTAATATATAGAAAATCTTTGCACATGCCAATGTCCTGGAGTATTTCCCCAATGTTTTCTTCTAGTAGTTTCATAGTTTTAGGTCTTAGATTTAAGTCTTTTATCCATTTTCATTTGATTTTTATATATGGTGAAAGATAAGTGTCTAGTTTCATTCTTCTGCTTTTGGTTATCCAGTTTTCCCAGCACCATTTATTGAAGAGAATATCCTTTCCCCATTGTATGTTTTTCAGCACCTTTGTCAAAATGCATTGACTGTAAATGCATGGTTTTATATCTGAATCTTCTATTCAGTTCCATTGGTCTATGTGTCTGGGTTGTTTTGTTTTGTTTTTAACTCTAATTCCATAATGGATTGTATATGTCTGTTTTTAAGCCAGTACCATGCTGATTTGGTTACTATAGCTTTGTAGTATTTTTTGAAGTCTGGTAGTTTGATGCCTTCAGCTTTGTTGTTTTTTTTTTTTTTTTTTGCTCAGAGTTGCTTTGGTTATTCAGGGTCTTTTGTGGTTCTATATAATTTTTTTCTTTTTTTAAAGGCTGGTCAACTGGAGCAGTGGGAGCTGAGAAGGAACAAAGGAATCTGTAACTGGTTGTGATCAATTAGTTGTAAAGGTTCTATATAAATTTTAGGATTGTTTTTTCTGTTTTTTTTTGTTTTTGTTTTTGTTTTTTTGAGACAGAGTCTCACTTTATTGCCCAGGCTACAGTGAGTGCCATGGCATCAGCTTAGCTCACAGCAACCTCAAACTCCTGGGCTCAAGCAATCCTGCTGCCTCAGCCTCCTGAGTAGCTGGGACTACAGGCATGCGCCACCATGCCCAGCTCATTTTTTCTATATATATTAGTTGGCCAATTAATTTCTTTCTATTTATAGTAGAGACGGGGTCGCTCTTGCTCAGGCTGGTTTCAAACTCCTGACCTTGAGCAATCCGCCCACCTTGGCCTCCCAGAGTGCTAGAATTACAGGCGTGAGCCACCACAACCAGCCTGTTACTGATTTTTGTGTGTTGGTTTTGTGTCCTGCAACTTTACTGAATTGTTTTTCAGTTCTAACAGTTTTTGGTGGAGTCTTCAGGCTTTTCACCATAGATGAATTTTAATATCTTACTGTTGTTTCCTCTTCTTCGAATTATTATCTGCTCATGTTTGGCAAACTTTTACTCGGTTTCAAGCTTTGCGTCTTTTTTTTTTATTATATATATATATTTTTATATTATAGTATTTATTATATATATATTATATATTTTTTTTTTTGAGACAGAGTTCGGCTTTGTTTGCCCAGGCTAGAGTGAGTGCCGTGGCGTCAGCCTAGCTTACAGCAACCTCAAACTCCTCGTCTCAAGCAATCCTTCTGCCTCAGCCTCTGAGTAGCTGGGAACTACAGGCATGCACCACCATGCCCGCTAATTTTTTCTAATATACTATTGTTGGCCAATTAATTTCTTTCTATTTTATAGTAGAGACGGGGTCTCACTCTTGGCTCAGGCTGGTTTTGAACTCCTGACCTTGACAATCCACCCGCCTCAGCCTCCCAGAGAGCTAGATTACAGGCGTGAGCCACCGCGCCGCCAAGCTTTGCGTCTTGAGTGACCTCCTGGCAATGCTGTATTGCAAAGAGTAGAAAAATGTATGTTACTGTGACAGAAAGCAGGGCATCAATATTTATAGAGGCAAGGAACTTGGTAATTCCCCAAAAAGGCATTGCAGAACTTGTGGGGAAAACCAGAACTTTATAGTTCTTCCTTAAACTTATTTTATGTTTTAGTTAATTTTGAGTTACTCAAATGCCCTTGATTAGTCTTCCCTTCCCCCTAGTTGTCAGAACTCTCTCCTTTGTTTCCATTTCCTTATACACTGTTGTCTCCTACCTTTTCCCTGAACTCTTCAAAATGGTCAATGTTATGAAAAAGAAAACCAAAGTGGGGGGAGAGGTTGTAGGTTAAAAGAGACTAGAGATGAACTAAGAGCAAGTGTGAACTTGATTATTTTATTTTTATTTTTATTTTTTTTAGACAGAGTCTCGCTTTGTTGCCCAGGCTAGAGTGAGTGCCGTGGTGTCAGCCTAGCTCACAGCAACCTCAATCTCCTGGGCTCAAGCAATCCTTCTGCCTCAGCCTCCAAGTAAGCTGGAACTACAGGCATGTGCCACCATGCCCCGGCTAATTTTTTCTATAATGTATTATTTGGCCAATTAATTTCTTTCTATTTTATAGTAGAGGTGGGGTCTTGCTCTTGCTCAGGCTGGTTTCGAACTCCTGACCTCAAGCAATCCGCCCGCCTCGGCCTCCCAGAGTGCTAGGATTACAGGTGTGAGCCACCTCACCCGGCCTTGATTAGATTTTGAATGAAAACAAATCCCAGGTATAAAATCAATTTGAGGGGACAAATGAAGAACTTTAAATACGGATGTACATTAGGTGTTATTAGTGATTAATGTTAATTTTCTTATGTGTGTTAATGGTATTATGGTTATGTAGGCTGATGTCCATAATAGAAGATACATGCTGAGTTATTACTGATGTCTGAAATTTACTTTCAAATGATTCAGTGAGAATAAAAGTGCTTGGGCACCTTGAAAGAAAGAGAGAGCGCAAGCAAATTTGGCAATATGCTGACACTTATTGAATAGCGGTAATGACTTATTCTTTTAACTTTTTGATCGGTTCAAAACTCACAAAAAACATGGATGGAGGGAGTGTGCTTTGCCCATTAGATCGGTAGAATGGTTAGGTTCGGTTAGGGCCTGACATTGCGCAGGGTACTTTATAACAGCTCAGTAACTTCAATTGCTCTGAAATTCAAAAATTGTACTTGGAATCCTTTTGGTCATTGCCCCTGCCTCCCTTCGCCACTCTCCTCCCTTCATTCTTCCTTGAGGCGTAACCACCTGAGAGAGCCTTCTTTCCCTCGGCGCTCTCCGTAGATAAGTGAACCTTCATTGGCTAGAGTGCTCTGACGTCTTATTGTAGCGCGGTCTTATTTTCCCCGGAAGCGCGCGCGCGTGCGTCTGGACGCGTTTGGATTCCCAATTTCAGGTGGTCGTTCCTATCCCGGCTATTCGGACGAATGGCACAGAAGCCGCTGCGCGTGTGAGTGACTCTGAATCGGAAGTATCGGAAGTATAGGGGAGGGGGGGAGAGAGGGAGAGAGAGATTGGAGTTAGGGAGCTAGGCCTCCTACATCTTCAGCCGGCTTGATCTCTAACACATCACCTCCCTTCATTTCTCTCTTTACTCCATCTATTTATTTACCAAGTGCTTCTAGACATTGGGCCTGGATTTATCCATAGGGTCCCTTCCCTGGAGCACATTTTTGGGGAAGGAGGGAGCGGTCGGATGGTGAAGACAGGACTTTATTCATTCAACAAGTATTTATTAAAGTACTGAAGTGTGCCAGATTGTCCTAGGCTTTGCAACAGATGGGGTTCTTGCCTTAATGGAGCTTATAGTCTAGAGGAACAGGTATTAATCAAAGAGTCTAGATAAATGTAAAATGACAATAGTGATGAATTGAAGAAAAGGTTCGCAGGTCCGGGAAGGTATAAAATATGGGTACTTGGCTTAATGGTAGGAATCGGGAAGGCTTCCTAAGAAAGTGAAGATTGAGCCCTGGTACAGGTAATACAGATAGTGTTCATTGTACCAGGTAATATGATAATGTATTGTCTAATGACAGGAATACATTCTGAGGAATGTGTTGTTAGATTTCGTCATCGTGTGAACATCATAGAATATACTTACACAAAGCTAGATGGTATAGCCTACTAAACACGTAGGCTCTGTGGTATACCTATTACTCCTAGGCTACAGACCTATGCAGTATGTTACTGTACTGAGTACTTTAGGCAATTATAACACAGTGGTAAGTATTTGTGTATCTAAATGTACCTACACATGGAAAAGGTACAGTAAAAATACAGTATGAAAGATTAAAAATAGTGCACCCTCATAGAACACTTACCATGAATGGAGCTTGCAGGATTCAAAGTTGCTCTAGGTGAGTCAGTGAATGGTGAGTGAATGTGAATGGCTAAGATGTTATACCATACACTACTGTACTTTTTTTTTTTTTATTTATCTGGTCACGTTGATGAGACCTACTGTACACTTTATAAACACTGTACACTTGGGCTACACTAAATTTATAAAATTTTTTTTTCAATAATTTTTTTTCTTTTTATATTATTTCAAAATATTATGGGAGTACAAATGTTTTTGGTTACATGGATCACTTTTGTTATGTTTGAATCAGAGTTATAAGTGTAGCAAACACCCAGATAGTGTTCATTGTACCAGTTAGGTAGGTTTTCACCCATCCTTACTTTCCCCCTCTCCCCTGCTTTATTTCCACTGAGTTTTACTTCCCTCTGTGCGTATGTGTGCTCATAGGTTAGTTCCAATTTAATAGTGAGTACATGTGGTGTTTGTTTTTTCATTCTTTAGATACTTCACTTAGGATAATGGTCTCCAGTTACATCCAAATTGTTGCAAAGGGCCTTAATTCATCCTTTTTCTTCAGTAATAAATTAACCGTAGCTTATTGTAACTTTTTTACTTTATAACTCTAAAATTTTTTAAATTTTTAACTGTTTTGCAATATTTAGTTTATAACACACTTTGTACAGCTGTATAAAAATGTTTTCTTTCTTTATATCCTTATTCTATAAGCTTTTTTCTATTAATTTTTTTTAATCTTTAAACTTTTTTGTTACAAACTAAGATACAAACACATTCATCAGCCTTGGCCTACACAGGATCAGGATCATCAGTATCAATGATCTTATCCCATGGGAAGGTTTTCAAGGGCAATAACATGCATGGAGCTGTCATCTCCTATGATAATGATGCCTTCTTCAGGTATAACTCCTGAAGGCTTCTCCTTCTGAGGCTGTTTTACAGCACTTTGAGAGCCTGAGGCAAGAGGATTGCTTGAGCCCAGGAGTTCAAGACCAGCCTAAGCAACATAGTGAGACCCTGTCTCTACAAAAATAAGAAAAATTAGCCAAGTATGGTGGTTTGCACCTGTAGTCCCAGCTACTCAGGAGGCTGAGGCAGGAGGATCACGTGAACTCAGGAGTTTGAGGCTGTCGTGAGTTATGATGCTATGAGTGAGTCACTGCACCCCAGCCTGGGTGAAAGAGACCCTGTTGAAAGACAGAGAGGGAGACAGAGAAAGGAAGAAAGAAAAAAGGAAAAAAAGAAAGGAAAAAAGAAAGAAGGAAAGAAACAAAAGAAAGAAAGAAAATAAATTATATGAGCAGTGGTAAAACCATGTAAATCAGAATTAGAAAAACTCAGAAATGAGATGATAGAATAAGTCAAGTCACCAAGTCCTTTCACATCTTGGGGCCAGTCCACCTTACCAACCTCAGCTCTCATCATATTCTTCTTCCTGCCCTATAACACCTTATACATACCTCTTATTATAGTCCTTTTCTTAAAATTTATAATGATTAGAGTATCTTCCCTGATTGTAAACTCTTTGAGGCTTGAACTGAGTCTTCCTCCTCTTTATATGTCTAACATGTTCTTAGCATATAATATACTTGGCATATTGCACTTAGCATTTTGTAGGTGTCCAGTACATGTTTATTGAATGAATGACTGACACTCTGTACTAAGATAGTCTCAGTGGAAATTAGAGGATAGACAAATGTGAAAGATGTTTGGAAAAAGAGATTGACAGAACTTGGTGACTGTATGGGGAAGTTTTGACTCTTGGTGACCAAGTTGGTGATAGACACATCCACAAAACAGGAATGAGGAGAAGCTGGCTCAATTGTGGAGGACATGATAAGTTAAATTTTAGATATGGCAAATTGGAGGTGTTAGTGAGACCTTCAGGTGGAGCTGCCCAGTAGTTTACATGCACCGAACCTTTCAAAGTATAACTGCAGAGAGGCTGGATCAGGAATCTGCTTAATCCAAAAGGCTAGTATATACCAAAGCTGGTAGGCCCATTTGTGTTTCCTGAATTGCCATAACATTTATCTCTTGTTTGCAGCTTGGCTTGTGGAGATGTTGAAGGAAAGTTTGATGTTTTATTCAATAGAGTTCAAGCAATTCAGAAGAAAAGTGGAAACTTTGATGTAAGATATTTCTTTTCCTGAACTTAATTTTACCATTATAGTCAAACATGCTAAAATAAAATTTGGGCTTCTTTATTAATTTCTTGATTGAACCCATACTCTCCATTTTTTGTTAGATTGAGTTCCTTTTGTGAGCATAAGAGCCCAGGTGTGGAGTGGTGGGGGGAGGGAGGAGGAAAAGAGACCTATTTACTATAGACCTTTTTATGCTTTTTGAATTTGAATCTTGTTACTTTATTACTGTACAAAAACTGAAAACAGACTAGCAAAACTTCTGTGGGTGATTCTGGCCCATGAGTTTGGGAAGCACAGATCTTATGAGATTTTATGAATCAGACAACACAGATAAGCACAGATTTTATGAGTCAGATAACATGTGCAAATGCTTTACAATCTGAAGAGCCCTATATAAATGTTATGTACAGTTGCCAAATACACTGTAAACTCTTAGAGTACAGAAGAGTATTTTAGGTATGAGGATAATTTGTTCATTGAATTAAAGATTGAGTAAAAACAAAATATGCCCTCTATATCTCAGGATATTTCATACTTTAAGATTTATATTTCACAGAGGGATTCTTTTTTTTTTTTTTCTTTTTAGTAGAGATGGGGTCTCTCTCTTGCTCAGGCTGGTCTCGAACTCCTGAGCTCAAGTGATCCTCCCACTTCTGCTTCCCAGAGTGCTAGGAGTACAGGCATGAGCCACCACACCCAGCTTCACAGAGGGATTCTTTAAAGGTCCATTTCTCTATTAATGTATACTCCAAGGAAAGAGGATGGTGGAGAGAGCCATGGACTAGCAGGGTGGGTCTAGGAATACTTGAGGAACATTCAGACTCTGACTTCTTTTGAAAGTTCAGTTCCCTGACTCCCTTTTGTCCATCTGCAAGTTGAATTTGAAAGCTAGTGAGCCAAAATTTAATAATTCATAGAATCAGTGACTATTATAATTGCTGCTAAAGAATTTGTGTATTGAAGTCTGCAAATTGATTAAGAATAAAAATCTGTTTCTCTTGTCATTTTAGAGGGAAAAAAAGAATAAAAATTTGGTTTGAGGCCATTAAGTAAGATAATTAGTTGAATGTTGCTATCAAGTGTGTACTGTTTGATATTTAAAAATCTCATATCTGTTTAAAAAACTCATTTTAGCTGCTGTTATGTGTCGGAAATTTCTTTGGCTCCACTTCAGATGCTGAATGGGAGGAGTATAAGACTGGCGTCAAGAAAGGTATAGAAATTATTTTTATTTAATGTGATTCCTAATAAAATTTCAAGGGCTGCAGTTCTTGCTGAGTTGTTTTTCACATATTGGTTCTTAAGAATTTCCCTTTTGAGCTCTGCATTGAGCTAGAAAGAATGTCTATGCGTAATCTATGTGTTTGCATTTTGAATTTGGCTTAGTTTAATTCCAGAAAAATAATGCTCTTCTAGGTTGGCAGGAACTGAATAAATACAACCACATATCCTTTCTTTTTTCCAGTTTTAGGGTATTTTATTAAGCTTTTTGGTGTCTGGTTTTCTCGTTATTCATGGACCATCCTCTTTAAGATTATACTTCATTGGCCTAGTGATACCACTTGCTAGTCAAGCCACGAGGTTGGAGCAGTATATCCTTAGCGGTGAGAAGGTTCCACGTTTAGGATTGCTATGGGGGGAATGTGAATGCATAGACTCTTTACTTTTGCTATGAGTATTTTTTCTATGGGGAAGCATTTCTCAAGTTCTAAGGCACATCTGGTAACTGTATGGTGTCATGTCTGTTTTCTTTACTAGCTCCTATTCAGACATATGTGCTTGGTGCCAATAACCAGGAAACAGTTAAATATTTCCAAGATGCTGATGGATGTGAGTTAGCTGAAAACATTACTTATCTGGGTAAGTTGATATTTTTTGTGTTTGTAATGAAGATAATATAGTCTTCTCAGGAATTAGACTGCCAAGAAATTTTGGGTTGGGATTTTCTGCCATTAATACCTAAGAGAATGAGGGTTGGATGGTTCTTTCCCAAAGTCTGTGTCTATGCCAATGTCTATGGCATTTTCCCTTTATTGTCTCCCTCACCTCTCCCCAATCTCCTGTGTTGTCACAACCCAACACATACTTTTTTAGCCAATTAGAGGGATAAACTCTTTTGTCTACAGTGTATGCAGTACTTAAGATATAAATTATGTTCAAATAAAAGAAATTCCAGCTCTCTGGGAGGCCAAGGCGGGCAGATTGCTTGAGGTCAGGAGTTCGAAACCGGCCTGAGCAAGAGCGAGACGCCGTCTCTACTATAAATAGAAAGAAATTAATTGGCCAACTAATATATATAGAAAAAATGAGCCAGGCATGGTGGTGCATGCCTGTAGTCCCAGCTACTCGGGAGGCTGAGGCAGTAGGATTGCTTGAGCCCAGGAGTTTGAGGTTGCTGTGAGCTAGGCGGACGCCATGGCACTCACTCTAGCCTGGGCAACAAAGTGAGACTCTGTCTCAAATAAATAAATAAATAAATAAAAGAAATTCCATATATGTGACCTTCACATATATATAACCTTGATAGATTTATAAAGCTTACTTGTTAGTTCGGCTACCAACTAGTTATCACTGTAGGTTTCACTCTAAGGTTTGGCAACTCGAATTTTTAGTGCTGATCCTTTGGGTTTTTTACTGTCTTTGACCTTTTTATGGTTCTAAGACCACTCTTCAAGTCCAGGTTACAGTTGTTTCCTCCACAACCCACTGTGCTGCTTTTAGTGGTTCTTTCAATGTCTGACTGTTTTCAAAACCCCTGTCAAATTTTTTGTTTTCCCTCCACCTGCTGTCATTCTAGTGACTCTTGGATCATTCAACTCATTTTTTTTCTAAAATGACTACATTGCATTTTCCATTTCCTGTTTGTTGGTCTCATTTCCCTAGAAAGCTTCTATATTCCCTTGCTGTAAATACCCTCCTTCTCCCTCCCCACCATAGTCCATTTTGGCCTTTAGTCTTTATATCTGGCTGTGGCCCTCATGTTAGCAATCTCATCTTACTTCAATCATATGGGGCTCCTTTAAGGAAAAAATTAAGGATAGGATTTTTACTTGTTTGTTGTTTTTTTTTTTTTTTCGTTTTGCCCAGAGAACATGACACTAATTGTTTGTTGTTTTTAACCACAGTTGTGAGATATACAATTTGAAATCTGTTGTTGTAGATCTTAAACATGGGGCTGACTTATGGCAATTCTTGGTGTAGTTTTTAGATTTAGATTGAGTACTACTATAGATATTTGGCAGCCATTTTACTATATGAATTTTGTGCCAGGAGTGGAAAGAGCAGCTGAAGTACTTGGGCTATTTTTGTGAAATAGATTTTTTGGATCCAGTAGAAGGAGCAAGCAATGAACTTGATGGAGAACATGTGTTAGTGAGCTTGAAGTGCTTATAGAACACTCAACATGGAATTGGAAGTGATAATTCTTTCTAGAGTATCAATATTGAAGAGTATAGGCTTTGGAGAGTTGGTCTTATGATGATGAAAAATAAAGCTGAGAAGAGGATCAAATTGTTAAGGAAGAAACATAATGAGAAGGGAAGCAGGTAGATGATCATACCTTGGGAGGGGTATATCTTCTTTTAGGGGTTGGGCAAAGAGAGGCAAAAGCACTTAGAGGACTGTCTAGAGAGGTTAAAATATTGTCAAGTTTGTAGAATCTAAATGAAGAGAGAATAGTTTCAGGAGAGGATGCCATTGGCAATTACAGGGTGATCAGTGACCTTTAACAGAGTGGTGGGAGAAGTAAACTAAATTGTAGTGGCTTAAGGAACTAATAAGAATAAGAGGAAAAGCATTTAGAGAGCCAGGACTACTCTTCAGAAATTTGAAACTAAAGAAGAGGAAGTTCTTAGTATATGTGTTCATTTTGGATGGGGATGACTGAGCATGTTTTTCTGAACAGAAAAAGTCAGTTGAGAAGAGGAGACTCAATAGATGAAAGGGAGGTGAAATTGTTGGAGCAAGAACTTGAAGGCAACAGGAGAGAATGGAATCAAGGCCACAAGCCAGGAATAACTCTGGAAGAGAGTAGAGTCTCTAGTTTTTCCCAAGCAGTTGCTCTTTCCAAATGTTTTCCTTCACTTAGAAGTTGTTGCCTGCCTGAAGAGTACATCTTTTCTATACTGTAGTTTCTTCAGAACTGCAGTTATTTTTTCTTCTCATTGCCTCTTCCTGTGTCCGGGTGTCTGGGTTTCTTTTAGTCTATGTAGAATCTTCTCTAGAAAGCCTTTTTCTTAATCTTTTGCTTCCCAACTTTTTTGAGTAATATTTGTAAGGCACCTAGAATAAGCAGTACAGGAAAGTTTACTGTCCTTCAGGCATGCAGAATGGCAGGGATGTAGGAGAGTCATGGCATGGGGTGATTCATCACCATATTGATGGCATTTTGTTCTGCAGTTTTGACTAAAACTTGTTTAATTTTCTTTGAACCCAGGTCGTAAAGGTATCTTCACTGGAAGCTCGGGGCTGCAGATTGTATACCTCAGTGGGACAGAGTGCTTACATGAGCCAGTCCCAGGTTACAGTTTTCATATCAAGGATGTGTCTTTCCTGAGAACAATGCTGTGTTCAACCTCCCAGTTTAAGGGTGTTGATATTTTGCTCACATCCCCGTGGCCCAAGTATGTGGGGAACTTTGGGAATTCTTCTGTGAGTAGTGCTTGTTCAGCTGGAATATCTAAAAGCAAATTGTACTAGCTTAAGTTGGATTTTTTGGTTTTTTGTTTTGCTCTTTATATTGAGTATTTTAGCTCTTGGTATGTTTCACTAGAAATCTTTTGTGAATTTTTTTTTTAGGATTCTAAATGCTATATCAACTGACCAAAGCAAAAGTTGATCTTATAGAAGTGTGATTCACAGATGAGCTTGTTGAAATCTTAGATATAAGTGAATGGTTTTTTTTTTGAAACAGAATCTTTGTTGCCCGGGCTAGAGTGCCTTGGCGTCAGCCTAGTTCACAGCAACCTCAAATTCCTCAAGCAATCCTACTGCCTCATCCTCCTGAGTAGCTGGGACTACAGGCATGTGCCACCATGCCCGGCTAGGTTTTTAAAATTATATTCTCTGGTTCTAGTGTCCTCTCAAGCTTCCTTTTGATATGTTTTGAGGGTTCACTAATTTTCAGTGAAAAGATTGACAGCTAGTGGCAGTTCTGCAGTTGTATTTTCCCTCTTCCATTCTATATTATTACTTATTGACTATCAGACTATTTTTAAAATTGAATCATTATGGGATAGAGGCTAGTGATCTCAAGATCTAAAGATGGGAAACAAGGTGTTGAAAACTAGATATTTCTCTTAGTATTTCATCCTAACACTTTAATGTTGGGATGCATTGGAGCTCATCATTGCATTTGATTTTAGTATTTTTATAAGTAATCTTCAAGAAAATGTGCATCAGAAGTGGCAGCTATCATGGGGAGTGAAATATTACATTGGTGTAAATAAGCCTAAGGAAGATCTTGAAAAGGTTGTGTGTGAGGACAGAAAGCATCAGCTGAACATTAGTAAAGGGCAGTGTAAGAATGCATTTGGGGACAAATCTATGGGAATGGATTCAGAATTATCAGTGATGATCCCCAAGAGGGCCCTGTAGAGCATGCCCATGTAGAGGTGCCCACTTCAGCACCATGTGTCTGTGACTAAAAAAGGCCAAGAAGATATCAGGCATTGTCAGGGAGGTTGTTGAAAGGAAAAGGGTCAATATTCTCTTCCCTTTCACAAACCCATGGTTATTCTTCACCTGGAAAACAAGGGCTAGTGCTTGTTGCAGCTCACGGATATAGCAAAGCTAGGGAAGCTCAGAGAAGGGCTGTTAAAGTGATGATGGAAGGGAGAAGGACACATGTGATGCTCTGTGAGAAAGGATGAGAAAATGAGGCCCCTTGATTTTGGGGGGAGATGAAAAAGAATTTGGATCAAAGTTTATGAATAATTATGCAAGATATTTATAGGGGAGAAAAGTATAGTTTACCAGTCCCTAAAATACTGTGACTAACCTCAAGGTAATTCCCCACCCTTCAGCAGAACCTAAAGGAGGCAAGTGTAAGACAAAAGGAAGTTCCTGCTTTACTTAGTGGAACATAAACTTTGGTAATTTTTTTATTTCCAGCTAATGCTTTCTCAGACTAGAGTTTATAAATAATGTTATGGATGAGAGATCACATAATAGGTTGTTAACGGAAGCTAAGGATGTTCTGAGAACATTTGTTCTGAGAACTTTTGACAAACTGTATGTTACTTTAAAACTGTAAAAAAGGTTGTGGTTGTGCCCTTTCATGAACTGCCACTTCCTTGACTGAAACAAAATAAAGGAATACTTGATTATGTGATGAGGTCTTTGAATATTCTATACCAAATATTCTACTGGTCCTAAGGGCCCTGAAGGCTATATTTTAGTTTTTATTTTCTGCCTTGACTATGACTATCTGCATTGTCAGAACTACAGGTACATTACAAAGCAAACTAGAAGCACAGTTTGTGGGCTCCAGAGAGTGCTTACTTTCCAAAAAAGGTTTTCATAATCCATGTTTTGGGTATTAATATGGAGGAGAGTTACCTTTTAACCTCTGGCTATCAACAATTGTACCTATTTCTGCATTCATAATAGTCTAGTTCCCTTATTTGTTTGATTAATCTGTGATTGCCATAGTATGAAATTCACTGTGCAAATCATTCTGCCCACATTTATGTCCACATATAAATTTCAAAGACATTTCAAAGTGTGTTGTTACTTCTTTGTGTTTCTTGATTACTGTTGGGTCTGTATGGATGACTGAGTTTCTATTTATTAGGGAGAAGTGGATACCAAAAAATGTGGCTCTGCTTTGATCTCCACTCTTGCCACAAGCTTGAAACCAAGATATCATTTTGCTGCTTTGGAAAAGACCTATTATGAGAGGCTTCCATATCGGTGAGCAGTATTTCATTCTTTTTGGCTTTTTGAAGAATTTGCTTTGGGTCTTCCATGTAAATGTTCCTTGTTCATTTTTAGCCATATAATACCTTGGTTCTATTAATATTTGGTTACACAGACAATGAAATGAGTGGCTCTCAAGTCATTCAACTTCTCTGAATTTGTTCCCTAATTTGAAATATAAGGGATTGGACTATAAGTTTCCTTAAAGGATTGAGGGTCTGAGGTAACAATACTATTTAACCATTATAGCTCTTTGTAGCACATTAGGTCCTGTTAGGTCCCTTTGATCAGGTCAAACTAGTACTATATGTCTTTTTTACTTTTATTTTTTTTGAGACAGAGTCTTACTTTGTTGTCCAGGCTAGAGTGAATGCCATGGCATCAGCCTAGCTCACAGCAACCTCAAACTCCTGGGCTCAAGCAATCCTACTGCCTCAGCCTCCCGAGTAGCTGGGACTACAGGCATGTGCCACCATGCCTGGCTCATTTTTTCTATATATATTAGTTGGCCAATTAATCTCTTTCTATTTATAGTAGAGATGGGGTCTCGCTCTTGCTCAGGCTGGTTTCGAACTCCTGACCTTGAGCAATCTGCCCGCCTCGGCCTCCCAGAGTGCTAGGATTATAGGCATGAGCCACCACGCCTGGCCAGTACTATATGTCTTAACAACTCAGTTCTCAGTATAATCAACTTAACTCTTACCTATCTTGACTGATTAAGTGATAAAGGATATGGATAATCCCTTTATCCCTAATTTACCCTGAAAGGGTAACTTTTTCATTTTTTTTAAACAAAAATAATATATGTGCTTGTTGCCACCTGAAAAAATATAAGTGAGCAAAAAGAAGAAAATAATTGGCCTCCCCCCATAATCCCACAGCTTGATATATAATCATAGGTAATAGAGGTTTTTCTGTTAAATCTCCATTCCAGAAAAATCTCTTATTCTCTAAAAACAGAGGTTATGGGAGCAAGCCACTCAAAACCTGTACAACTTTTAAGAATCTGAATACACAGTTCTTCATAGAACATATACAAATGACCAATAGGCACATGAAAAGATGCTCATATCATTAGCCATTAGGGTAATACAAATCAAAATCACAATGAGATACCACTTCACACCCACTACGATGGTTATAATCAAGAAGGCAAATATGCAATAACAAATGATGGCAAGGATGTGAAGGAATTGGAACCCTCATACGTTACTGGTAGGAATGTGAAATAGTGCAGCCACTTTGGAAGACTATTTGCAGTTTCTGAAAAGGTTAAACATAGGAGTTACCATATGACCCAGCAGTTCCACTCTTGTTCCAAGAGAAATAAAAACATAAGTTCACACAAAAATTTGTACAAGAATGATCATAACAGCATTATTCATAATAGCTTAAAAGTGGAAATAACCTATCACTTGTTGAATAGATAAATGAAAAGTGGTATATCCATATGATGTAATGTTATTTGGCAAGAAAAAGGAATAAAGTACTGACATGTGGTCCAACACGATTGAACCTTGAAAACATTATGCTGAGTGAAAGAAGCCAAACACAAAAGACCACATATGGTTGGGCATGGTGGCTTATGCCTGTAATCCTAGTACTCTGGGAGGCTGAGGCAGGTGGATTGCTCGAGGTCAGGAGTTCAAAACTAGCCTGAGCAAGAGCGAGATCCCGTCTCTACTATAAATAGAAAGAGATTAATTGGCCAACTAATATATATAGAAAAAAATGAGCCAGGCATGGTGGCACATGCCTGTAGTCTCAGCTACTCGAGAGGCTGAGGCAGGAGGATTGCTTGGGCCCAGGAGTTTGAGATTGCTGTGAGCTAGGCTGATGCCATGGCACTCACTCTAGCCTGGGCAACAAAGTGAGACCCTGTCTCAAAAAAAAAAAAAAAAAGACCACATATTATATGATTCCATTTATATGAAATGTCCAGAATAGGCAAGTGCATAGAGATAGAAAGTAGATTAGTGATAGCCTAGGGCTAGTTGGAGGGAAGTAGGGGGTGACTGCTACTAGGTATAAGGTTTCTTTTTGGAGTGATGAAAATGTTCTGAAATTAGACCGTGGTGGTGGTTGCACAACTCTGTGAATATATTAAAAACTATTGAATTTTATGTGTAAAATGGATGAATTTAATCATTTTTATTTTAAAATGAGCCAAATGTCTTCACAACATTTTTATCTATACTTGTGTTTTCTCTGCAGTATTAATTTTCTATTGCTGGTGTAACAAATTACCACAAACATTAGCTCCTAGAGGCCAGCTACATTCCTTGGTTCATGTGCCCTTGTTCCATCTTAAAGCCAGCAAGTGGCTTGAATCCTTACAACTCTGACCTTCCAATTCTCTTTTCCCTCTGACTCTCTTCTGCTCCCTCTCCCATTTTTACGGACTCTTGTGATTGTGTGGGGTCTACCCAGGTAATTCAGGATCATCTCCCTCTTAAGGTCAGCCAGTTAGCAACTGATTAGCTGATTAATTCCATCTGTCACTTTAATTTCCTTTTTGCTGTGTAAGATAACATATTGACAAATTAGAGGGATTATGACATGGACGTGGGTGGGGGGATTATTTTGCCTCACACCTGGGTAGCATAATAGTAGCGAGTGTTAGTAGTTCTTGAGGCCACTGCACTAGTCGCTACTTATATTAAAGAAAGACACTTCTGCAAGATATTCACCTGTTTCTTTTCTTAATGTCTTCATATATTGTTAAAGTTTTTCTTGTGAGAAAACTTCTTTCAATCATTTTTTAAAATTGTCAAAAATTGCATATGAACCAGCATGACTTTCACCCAATACTGACATCAGTCTCCTATTTGCCAATTATGAATGTGCCTGTTCTCTTTAAAGAAACAGATTGTAGCAAAACAGACTATATTTTCACGTTTTTCTTTCAATCATGTGACTATAAAATATATATTTATATAAAATGGTCTTATACTAGATTTTTTAGGTTTTTTTTTTTTTTTTTTTTTGAGATGGGTCTCGCTGTGTTGCCCAGGCTAGAGTGCAATGGCTATTCACAGGTGTGATCCCATTACTGATCAGCACAGGAGTTTTGACCTGCTTGTTTCCGACCTGGGCTGGTTCACTTCTCCTTAGGCAACTGATGGTCCCCTGCTCCCAGGAGGTCACCATGTTGATGTCAAACTTACTGCAGACAAACCGATTGGTATAGCACATTACAGCCGAGAACTCCTGGGCTCAAGTAATCCTACTGCCTCATCCTCCTGATAGCTGGGACTATAGGCATGCACCACCATGCCTGGCTGTACTAGATTTTTAAAAAATAAAATATGTTGTGACAGATTCAGGAAATTTCTGTAGCATGAGAAAAATAAAGGACTTTAAGGATTGACATCTATATTTATTAATGGTCAACTCACTAAAAATAAAAATATATATGTATAATATCAAAACTAATTTCAAATAATAGTCGCTCAGTGTAGAATGGTTTTAAAACACAGAAACAGGCTGGGCGTGATGGCTCACGCCTGTCATCCCAGCACTGGGAGGCTGAGGTGGGCGGATTGCTCGAGGTCAGGAGTTCGAAACCAGCCTGAGCAAGAGTGAGACCCTGTCTCTACTAAAAATAGAAAGAAATTAATTGGCCAACTAATATATAAAGAAAAAAAACAATAGCCGGGCATGGTGGCGCATGCCTGTAGTCCCAGCTACTCAGGAGGCTGAGGCAGGAGGATTGCTTGAGCCTGGGAGTTGGAGGTTGCTGTGAGCGAGGCTGATGCCACGGCACTCTAGCCTGGTGACAGAGTGAGACTCTGTCTCAAAAAAAAAAAACCACAAAAAAACACACAGAAACACTCAAAGTGGCTTGGTATATATAGTTTCCATATTTTTTCTATGATATAGACACTCATGTATTTTTATATTTTTCTTATAAAAATGAAATATTACTAATAGAGTCATGTTTTTTACACTTAGAATACATTTCTTTTTAGTTTTCATTATTTTAGCTTTTTATTCTACACAAAAGAGAATAATAAAATGACCCTTATGTACCCATCACCTAGCTTCAGCAATTATCAACATTTTGCCAGTTTCACAATTCTTTTAAAACCGAAAGTTGGAGTTTTGATGCTTTTCAGAGATATGATCTCATCTCTTCCTAACAATAGTCCTGTGAGTGAGGGGTTTGTTACCTTACTAGATGGATAGGTAACTACCTGAAATCATGTGACTTGTGGTGATGGACTCAGGACCCCTGCTCTTTTCATGGCCCCATGGAGTCTACATATTTCATAATTGCAAATCAAAAGTAAAAGTGTTGGTAACTTGTTATCTCTCAAATATGTTCTAGAAACCACATTGTCCTACAGGAAAATGCACAGCATGCCACTCGGTTCATAGCTCTGGCAAATGTTGGAAATCCAGAAAAGAAAAAGGTAAAAATTTGAGTATTTGGTGGTAATGTTCATTGTCTTCTTGATAAGTGTTTCCTTTGCCCAGTTTAACATTCAGGTCTTCTCTTCTCTTCTCTCAGTCTGTGTCTTTACTCTCAGGAACAGATTAGCCTCAGCCTTAAGGAACTCATACTTCAATCAAAGGGTGTGCACATTTTAAAATGTGGCAAGCATTATTAACTTAATCTCAGAGTTTTTTTTTCAGTTTATCAGCAGTGTATGGTATTTTTCTCTCATTCTCATTGGGTAGCATCACATTTTTATTAAAGGTCTTGCCAGTCTCATAGATGGAAGATTGTTACTTAATTGTATTTCCCTGAGGATATGCAGGTTAGCCATCTATTCCTATCTTATCTAAAGTTTTCAATGTCTGTGCCAAGATTCTAGATATTTACATGAATATTTACTTTGCTACTAATCTCTAAGAAAATTTTTCAGCATATACAGCAGAATTTGTATAATATCAGAGAGGGAAACCCAAAGTTGTCCAGTTGTGTTTTTCATAAGGAAAAAAGTATAGTAATGCCATGATTTTGTTGACAAAGTACACAAAGATAAAAGACTCAAAGTCAGAAGTACTTTGTCTTCAAGTGTTACAGAGAAAGTCCTGCTGGGCCCTGTGATGACTTCCTTATTATTATTATTTCCTTATCTGAGTGAGAACCCCTGATTTATGTAAGGGCTGGGGCTTTGATTTGTTGCTCATTACTTCATTAGCCCTTTGTTAGCCCTTGCATAGACCACTGAATTGACACTGTGGCCTCAAATCCACATGTGGCCCTCTAGATCCCCACGTGCAGCCCCTCAACTGAATCCAAACTACAAAGAACAGATCCCTTTATTAAAATGATTTGTTCTGTAAAATTTGGATGTAGTCAAAAGGCTACACTCAACGATCCAGAAGGCCACATGTGACCCCAAGGCCGCAGGTTCCCCACCCTGGCTGAGTTTCAGATGCTTCCTGTGAAATCTTTACAGTAAAATAAATTGATTACACTTGATTAAACAGTATTTCCCCTAATGTTGTTATGTTCTTTTTCCTAAAGTATCTTTATGCCTTCAGTATTGTTCCCATGAAACTAATGGATGCAGCAGAACTGGTAAAACAGCCTCCAGATGTCACTGAAAACCCTTATAGAAAATCTGGGCAAGAAGCACCCATAGGAAAGCAAACTCCTGCCTTTGAGGTATGTTCTGACTGAGAGGTGGTATCTTCTGGGCAGGATTGCCCATTATAGGTGTGTTTTTCCTGGTTAATTTAGTACAAAAGACAAATTTAATCCTTAGAATCTAAATCTTTTTTTTCTTGGGAAATCATGGTGGTGTTTAGAAAGTCTTAGTATCAGTGTTTTTTATTGTAGTTGGCACTTAACAGTTTCAGATGTTAAGTCTTTTTTTGTCTAAACTTGATGCAGATGTTAAGATGCATATGTTAAGTCTTTCCTTTTCCAAAGTTGATTATCTATTGGCTCTTCAGGCAAGGATCTAGCTGCTTGGTAGCAATGTGATTTGTGATTTTGTAACAATTGCTAATAGGTAAATAAGAATCACTCTGAAGAAATTTTCTTGATAGCAGACTTTTCTGAAATTAATTTTTTTCCACACTAAAGCAAAGGATGTCAAGTTCCCTTCTATTTTTCATGGTCTGCTTTGTCAGACTTTTCTTTCTTGATGAGCAGCTTTCTCATCTCTTTAATTAAAGTGGAATTAGTCTGGTTTGACCTGTGAAATTGTGGGACTACACTATGTCCCTATTGAGAGAAAAAGGAAGAGGAATTTGGGTGAGTTTATCTTCTGTTTTAGGCAAGAATTGCTCTGTATCTTGCATTTTAACTTGTTTTTCCAAAGAGATGAATTTGGTGTTAGCTTGGTCGAGTGTTGATTTGTATGACTGAGAGTCTAGACATCAGGATTGGGAAGATATTTTTCCTTCCTAGAATAGGCCAAAAGGGCTGAGAAGAAAGATAGAAATGACGTGGCGGGAATGTTCCCTAGTATGTGAATGGTTGGCTACTTGTCTAAAGGTTAGGTGAATAATATTTACCCTTCTGCCTTTGGCCATTCCAGGAAGAATCAGCCTGTCAGTTTTTCTTTGATTTAAATGAAAAGCAAGGAAGGAAGCGTCCATCCACCGGCAGAGATAGCAAATCTTCTCCACACCCAAAGCAGCCTCGCAAACCTCGTAAGTATCTTGGTTCTAGAGGTCTCCTGTGTGAGCAGTAACTGTTATTTTGAGTTTTGTTTGGAAAGCAGCATTGCTAAGAGAACCTGTTCTGGTAGAGGAGAATGATCTTGGTCATTAGGACCAATAGTAACTAAAAATAAAATAATATAAAGATAGCCTGACTTTGAGACTGTCTGAAGCTCTTTCTGTAAGAACTATGGAAAGAAAAAGCCCCTTTCTTTTGTGTCTGTGAAACATGCTGAGGTAAAGAGCATACAAAACATGTAGGTTCATAAAATAGTAGAAAAATTGAACTGAGAGGAAAGTCTTTAAGACTATTTTATTTAGATTCTCTACCCCCTTGTTTTAAAGAAGAAGCTGACCTTGGAAAGGTAAAGTATTTTCCAGGGTCATATGCCTAGCTAATGGCATAGCTGGGACTAGAACTGGGGCTCCTGACATTCAGTTCAGTGTTCTTTTATTGTAGTGTATTGCCAGTTATTTGCTACTTTAGTTAATATGTGATTATCCACTTGGGGATCACCTACTTGTGGATTGGTTACAAATTCAGAATTTTTCTAATGGAGGTTAATTTCATTGAAAATGGTGATGGGGGTCATAGTTAGGAACACAACAGGCCCAACCCACTGTGGCACTGCTGTACGATTCTCTGTAGGATATAAAGATCAGACAAGGCTGAGTTCTACAGGGTGATTATATGCTGTAGTGCTTGGACCATAGTAACACTTGGCTTTCTTCTGCATGCAGCTCAGCCTCCAGGACCCTGCTGGTTTTGCCTTGCCAGCCCTGAAGTAGAAAAGCATTTGGTGGTCAACATTGGCACACATGTGAGTTACTTCTATGGACCTTTTACAGAGGAGATGCCCATTTGTTTTTTATTAACTTTATTGAGGAATAATTTGCATATAACATTTACCAATTTTAAATACGTGATTCAATGACTTTTAGTAAGCTTACTGAGTTGTACAACCATCACATAGTAGTTTTAGAACATATCTGTCACTCCAGTAAGATTCCTTATGCTTATTTATGGTTAATCCCTTGTTCCCACCCTCAGCCCCAGGCAGCAATGAGTCTACTTAATGTCTCCATAGACTTGCCTTCTCTGGACATTTCTTATAAATAGAGTCATACAATATGTGGTCTTTTGTGTCTGCTTCTTTTACTTAGAGTATTCTTGAGGTTCATCCATGTTGTGGCATATATCAGTATTTCATTTTTATTACCATATCGTGTTCTATTGTATGGATATACCACATTTTGTCTATATGCATTCATCAGTTGATGCATATTTTGGTGGTACTTTATGGCTATTAGGAATAATGCTGCTATGAATTGCATGTGAGTCTTTGTCTGGACATATGTTTTCATTTGTTTTGGATAGATACCTAGGAATGGAATTACTAGGTCGTGTGGTAAATTTATGTTTAACTTTTTAGGAAACTGCCAAACTATTTTCCAGAATAGCTGTACTATCTTATATTCCCACCAGCAATGTATGAGGGTTTCTGCTTTTCTACAACCTAATCAACATTTGTTATTGTCTGTCTTTTTTATTATACCAATAGCCAGTTTGACAAGATAGCTCCTTCTTTTACTCCCTGTCTCACAAATAGGTGTGGTTCTCCTGGGGTGATGCTTTCATATAATTCTTGAACTCTCTGTATTTGGAGTCCATACTACTTGAGAATGATGAGTTGCTTTTGATAATTGCTATTGAAAACAGGGATTTTCTTCATCCTAAAAAGGAAGTCTTATGTTGCTATGTACCCATCCATATTGGGTTAAAAATGTTGATATTCTTTTTATAGCTTCAGATTCAGAAAGTTGAGCTTATTAATTTTTATTTAGAATTATGTAATGCTGGGAATTGATTCATACTACCAGTCATGTCAAAGACTAAAGTGATAAGTTCTCAGTTTTGCCTAGTAGCAGAGTATGTAACTTCCTAATGACAGGAATACCCATATACACATTCCTGGTATGAGTATCTGAGAACCCAAGATGATGATTATAAGGTTGCCTGGTAAGCACTGAGTCAGACTATGAGAACTGGATGGTCTTGATTGAGTGTGATGTTACTCAGGCTGTGGAAAGCCCTGATGACTGTATGTCTTACAGGAAAGTCATTCTATTTCCCATTTCCCTTCATACTTTTGCTTGGGCAGTGCTCCATTTGAGATTAAATAGTACCATTCTTTGACCCTCATTTCTCTGGGTTCCCTATAGACCATTATCCTCCTTTTTCATTCATTTAGAATGAAGAAAAATTAATTTTCAGCACTGTAGTCACCCATAGCTAAAATTAGATGTTCCCCAAGGGTTCTGAGGGAAATATTTATAAACAGATTTTGCAGTAGTTTGACTGTGTCCCCAAAATTTCATGTGTTGGAAACTTAATCCCCAATGCAATAGCGTTGAGAGGTGGGCCTAATAAGAGGTGATGAGGTCATGAGGACTCTGCCCTCATTAATGGATTAATGTTATCATCACGGGTGTGGGTTAGTTATCTCAAGAGTGGCTCAGTAATAAAAGCAAGTTTTGGCCCCCTCTTGCCGTTTGCCATGGGATGATGCAGCACAAAGGCCATCACCAGATGCCAGTGCCATGCTCTTGGACTTCCCAGATTCTAGAACCATGAGCCAAATAAATTAATGTTCATTATAAATTACCTAGTCTGTGGTAGTCTTTTACAGCAACACAAGACAAACTAAGACAATTTCTTCATGTGTAGTGTGCTTCTGTAGATAGATGCTTTCATCCATTTTTCACTAATTTGTTCTAATTTTGGTTTCTTTTATTTATTTTTATTTTTTTTATTTCAGCATATTATGGGGGTACAGATTTTAAGGTTTCAATAAATGCCCTTTCCCCCTCTCCCCCCACAAGTCTGAGTTTCCAGCATGACCATGCCACAGATGGTGCACATCTCACTCATTATGTATGTATACCCATGCCCCTCCCCCCTCCCACCTGCCCAATACCCTATTACTGTAGTACCTATGTGTCCACTTAGGTGCTGCTCAGTTAATTAACCAGTTTGCTGGTGAGTATATGTGGTGCTTGTTTTTCCATTCTTGGGATACTTCACTTAGTAGTATGGGTTCCAGCTCTAACCAGGAAAATATAAGATGTGCTATATCACCATTGTTTCTTAGAGCTGAATAGTACTCCATGGTATACATATACCAGATTTTATTAATCCATTCTTGGATTGATGGGCACTTGGGCTGTTTCCACAGCCTTGCAATTATGAATTGTGCTGCTATAAACATTCGAGTGCAGGTGTCTTTTTTGTAGAGTGTCATTGGATCTTTGGGTAGATGCCAGCATGGGATTGCTGGATCAAATGGTAGATTCACTTGTATCGCTTTAAGGTATCTCCATATTGCTTTCCACAGAGATTGAACTAGTTTGCAGTCCCACCAGCAGTGTAGGAGTGTTCCTCTCTCTCCGCAACCATGCCATCATTTATTGTTTGGAGATTTTTGATAAAGGCCATTCTCACTGGGTTAAGTGATATTCTTGTGGTTTTGATTTGCATTTCCCTGATGATTAGAGATGTTGAGCATTTTTTCATATGTTTGTTGGCCTCTTCTGTCTTCTTTAGAAAAGTTCTGTTCAAGTCCTTTGCCACTTTTAATAGGTATTTATTTTTTCTTGCTGGTTTCGTGAGTTCTAAGTGTATTCTAGTTATCAGCCCCTTATCAGATATGTAGGATGCAAAAATTTTCTCCCATTCTGTAGGTTGTCTGTTTACTTTCATGACTGTTCTTTGGCTGTGCACAGCTTTTTAGTTTGATCATGTCCATTTATTATTTTTGTGCTGCTGTGATTGCCTTTGGGACTCTTCATAAACTCTTTGCTAGGCCGATGTTAGGAGAGTGTTTCCAACATTTCCTCTAGAATTCTAATAGTTTCATACTTAGGTTTAAGCCTGTTATCCAGGGTGAGTTGATTTTTGTGAGAGGTAAAGGTCTGGTCCTGCTTTAGCCTTCTACAAGTGGCTATCCAGTTTTCCCAGACCATTTATTGAAAGGATTCTTTTCCCCAGTGTATGTTTTTGTCTGCTTTGTCAAAGATTAGATGGCTATATGAGGATGGTTTTATATCAGGATTCTCAGATCTGTTTCACCTGGTCAATATTCCTATTTTGTGCCAATACCATTTGATTAATGACTATAGCTTTGTAGTATAGTTTGATATCTGGCATATTAATGCCTCCCATTTTGTTTTTGTTGCCTAGAATTGCTTTTGATATTCGGGGTCTTCTTTGGTGTCCATACAGCGTAAATTATTTTTCTATATTGTGAAGAATGCTGATGGGATTTTAATAGGTATTGCATTGAATCTGTAGATCAGTTTGGGTAGTATAGACATTTTAATGATGTTGAGTCTGCCAATCCACGAGCATGGTATGGATTTCCATCTGTTTACATCCTCTGCTATTTCCTTCCTCAGTGTTTCATAGTTCTCCCTGTAGAGGTCTTTTTACGTCCTTGGTTAAGTATATTCCTAGGTACTTTAATTTCTTTGTTGCTATTGTGAAGGGAATTGAGTCTTTGATTTGGTTCTCAGTTTGATTGTTGTTGGCGTATACGAATGCCTCTGATTTCTGTGTATTGATTTTGTATCCTGAGACTTTACTAAATTCATTTATCAGTTCCAGGAGTTTCTTGGTTGAATCTTTGGGGTTTTCTAAATATAATATTATATCATCAGCAAAGAGTGAGAGTTTGATCTCTTCTGCCCCATTTAGATACCTTTAATTCCAATTTCCTGTCTCATTGCGTAGCCACGACTCCAGCACTATGTTGAATAGAAGTGGAGATAGTGGGCAGCCTTGTCTGGTTCCAGTTCTAAGTGGGAATGCTTTCAGTTTTTCCCCATTCAGTATGATGTTGGCTATGGGTTGTCAATAGGTTGTAATCATTTTTAGGTATGTTCCTTCTATGCCTATTTTATTATGTTCGTATCATGAAAAGGGTTGAATTTTGTCAAAAGCTTTTTCTGCATCTATTGAAAGAATCATGTGGTCTTGCTTTTGCTCTGTTTATGTGGTGAATTGCATTTATAGATTTACGTATATTGAACCACCCTGCATCCCTGGATGAAGCCCACTGGTCGTGATGGATTATTTTTTTGATAAGCATCTGGATTCGCGTTAGCTAAGATTTTGTTGAAAATTTTTGCATGTATATTCATTAGGGAACGTGGTCTGTATTTTTTTTTTTGTTGCATCCTTTCCTGGTTTTGGTATCAGAGTAATATTCGCTTCATAAAAGATGTCGGGAAGGTTTCCGTTCTTCTCGATGTTGTGGAATAGTTTCTGCAAGACAGGTACTAGTTCTTTGTAAGTGTGGTAAAATTTGGGTGTGAAACCATCTGGACTGAGATTTTCCTTTTTAGGGAGATTTTTAATTGCTGTTTCTATTTCAGCTCGCTGAGATTGTCTGTTCAGGAAAATCTATTCTTCCTGGTTGAGCCTAGGGAGGCTGTGCGTTTCTAGAATTTGTCCATTTCCCTCCACATTTTCCAGTTTGTGTGCATAAAGATTTTTCTAGTACTCATAAATTATATCTTGTATCTCTTTGGGATCAGTTGTGATATCTCCTTTTTTTTCCCTGATGGAATTATTAGAGATTTATCTTTTTCTGCTTTTCGTTAGCTTAGCCACATGGTATGTCAATTTTGTTTATTTTTCAGAGAACAACTTTTTGTTTTATTAATCTCCTGAGTAGCTTCCCTGTTTTCAATTTTGTTTAGTTCGGATTTGATCTTGTTGATTTCACTTCTTCTGCTGGGTTTGGGGGTTGGTCTGTTTCTCTTTTTCCAGCTCTTTTGAGTCATTTCATTAGATTGTCTATTTGTGATCTTTTACTTTTGGTTATAGGCATTTATGAGATAAACTTTCCTCTCAAAACTGTTTAGCCTGTGTCCCCAGAGGATTTTGATAACTTGTCTCTCCATTGTCATTTGTTCATAGAATTTTTTTATTCATCTTGATTCTTCATTTATGAAGTAATCATTTAGTAGGAGGTTGTTTAATTTCCACGTTTTGTGTAGAAATGTGAGTTTCTGTTAGGGTTGATTTACTTTTACTCCACTGTGACTGAGAAGATACATTGTATGATTTCTATTTTTAAAATTTCTTGAGGTTCTACTTTGTGTCCTAGGAATGGTCAAAATCTTAGGAGAATGTCCCGTGAGCTGATGAAGAACGTATATTCAGTGGATTTTGGTAGAATGTCCTGTAAATGTCAGTCAGACCCAATTGGTTCTAAGAGTTTTGTTTAAGTCCATTATTCTTTATTATTTCTGTTTGGAGGATCTGTCTTTTTGCCGTCAGTGGGGTGTTTGAAATCTCCGGTGATTATGGAGTTGCTGTTAATCAATTTGCTTAGATCCAGTAAGTTTTGCTTATGAATCTGGGTGTACCTAAGTGGGTGCACTGATATATGTAAAATTGTTTCTCTTCTTGTTGAACTGTGGCCCTTCACCCGATTATATATGACCCTCTTTGTCTTTCATGCACTTGTTGGGTTAATAAAAACTAAAATCGGTTCTGAAATTAGAACTGCCAACCAGCTTCTTTTTGGCTGTCCACTGCTTGGAAACTATATCCGACCCTTTTACTTTTAGAAAAATCTCATGCATACCTTGCCAGGTTGTGTTTCCTGAAGACAGCTTTTTCTTATCCCATTCAGCCAAGCCTATCGTCTCTTGGACGTGGAGGTTTAAAGCCTGTCACATTTTAATGAGAGAACTGATAGGGTATAGAGGTTTACTGTTCTTCTGTTGGGTTGGGATGTATTGCTTTTGATTTTCTCTTTTAGCCATTATAATTATCTGGCTTTTAGATCTTTGGGGTTTGGTTGTTTTATTATTTGCTGATGTTTGTTATTGATGTGTCCGGTGCGTAACACTATTTTGAGTACTTCGTGTAGGGCTGGCCTTGCCTTGGTGAATTCCCTGAGACTTTGCTTATCTGAGAATGTCTTTATTTCTCCTTCATATATGAAGCTTAGTTTTGCAGGGAATAAGATTCTAGGCTGGACATTGTTTTGTTTCAGGAAGAGTGGAGAATGGGGCCCAGTCTCTCCTTGCTTGTAAAAGTCTCAGTGAAAAAAGCTCTGGGTTTATTCGATTGGCTTTCCTTGTATTGTTACTTGCTTCTTTCATCTTACAGCTCTTAGAAGGCCTCTTTAGTTGTATATTTTGGTCAGTCTGATGACTGCATGTCGTGACGTCTTCCTGTTTGCATTGAATCTCCCAGGGGTCCCTTGAGCTTCTTCACTACTGTATATTGAGTTTGAGCAAGGCCTGGGAATTTCCTCTATTATATCTTCAAACAGCTTGTCTAACCCTTGAGTGTTGTCTTCTTCCCCTCTGATAACCCTATGACCCTCACATTAGGTTTCTTCACATAATCCCACATCTCTTGTAGGCTTTGCTCTTTTCTCTTGTTTCTCTGCTCTATCTCTGTGATGGTTTTATTTAGTTGGAGGGTGTTATCTTCAATCTCTGAGATTCTTTCTTCTGTTTGATCTACCCTGTTCTTGAGACTTTCCACTGTATTTTGTAGTTCCCTGAATTGATTCTTCATTTCCAGGAGTTCAGTAAACTTTTCTTCATTGTGTCAATTTATTTAGTGAACTTTTGTTCCAGGTCCTGGAGGCTTTTTGTGGTTTCTTTGTGTTGGTTATTGAGTTGTTCTTGCAAGTCGTTGAATTTTCTTATGATCCACATACGAAATTCCTCTTCTGTCATTTTGGTTGCCTGATTTTGGTTGGTGTCTGTTTCTAGGGGGCTGGTGCTCCTCTTTGGGGGTGAGTTTTCCATTTGGTTCTTCATATTTCTGGAATTCCTTCACTGATTTCGTCCCATGTTGATCGTTGTTGTTTTTTTCCTTTAGGTTTTCGTTTGGGTATTCACTCGCCTTGTTTAGTTTCTGAGCCGGGAGGTGGTGTCTGTTAATTTTGCTCTCTGAAGTGACCTTTTCCTGAACTTATCCTAACAATCTGAGAATCCCTGCACCTTTTTATTTTTTTTGAGACATGGTCTCACTCTGTCATCCTGGCTGGAATACAGTGGCATGATTATAGCTTACTACTGCCTCAAATTCCTGGGCTCAACCGATCCTGTCACCTCAGTCTCATGAGTAGCTAGGACTACGGGTGTACACCTCAATACCCAGCTAATTTTTTTGTAGAGATAGAGTCTCACTATGTTGTCCAAGCTGGTCTTAAACTCCAGTCCTCAAATGATCCTCCTGTCTTAAACTCCAGTCCTCAAATGATCCTCCTGCCTTGGCCTCTCAAAGTGTAGGGATTACAGGTGTGAGCCACTGTGCCTGGCCTAAAGACCATTTTTTGTGGCCTCCTATAGACTGACTAGAGTCTCAATTTCATCCTACACTCTAAGTCACTTTGAGGAGTTATACTTCTGCCTGTATTGTTTCAAGCTGAAGAGTCCCAGTCTTTTATATTTATTTTTTATGTTTTGGCACATTCCTATGTTGAGGGAGCACTAATGGGGCCAAGGCCTATGACACAATTGAGCCATAGAGCCTGTGGATAAACTCTTCAGTGGAAGACGAGCAAACTTGGAAAGGAATACCCTTTTTGGATTATCTCTTTGGACCTGTTTTCCTCTTTAGATTAGTTGATGTCATTTTTCTTTCCTACACAATTTGTATAGTAAGGCAGGCTTTGGACTGCCTTCTGTTTGAGAAGCCTCAATGTGTACAAGATCCCATGCAGGAGAAAAAGAGATTTGGAGTGGGTGACTAGCTTAGTGCTGCTGGAGGCCTCAGCAAGTAATGACCTTTTCTTTCCATTCACCTTTCTATTGTCCATGGTATCTAACTCAGGGTATGGGCCTGGGGGATGATCAAGGAAACCTGTTTTCTTCTCAGCTAGACCTGAAGCTGGAGGGGAAAAGGGTGTTGTTTGTGGCCCAGCCCAACACCCCAAGTAGGCCACATGAGCATTTTGGCCTAGAGCCTACACTATCCTTTGTCCGGTAGAAACTTCTTGGGAACCTGTAATGGCCTTTGGGTATCTGAGGGGAACGGTTTGGGATCCTCTCTCTGCCACCATTTTTTAAAATCACCTTTTACTATATTTTTTCCCTGACTTTTTCTGCCTTTGCTGTGCCTTCCTCAATGGATGTACATAGAACTATGTTTATGGCCCATAGCCACAGATTGGTAAAAAGGGGGAAGGACTACTAAGAGTCTAAAATAACTATTGCAAGATCCATGCATTTTACTTACGGGAGAAAAATTCATTCAGGTCCTGTTACACGTTGTTAGGTTTGAAGTATAGAAAAGATGAAAGGGTGAGAGTTTGAAAGGGAGGGAGGAGATTGGGTAAGTAGTGAAAGTATTTACAAAGACTTTAAGCATTGCATTGGAAGTGGGGGGAGCTATTTAGTCTAGACTTCAATAGCCAAAGAATGCACATCCCAATATAAAAGCTGATGTTTATGGCAGTGACACTCTGACATGAAGAAAAGACTAGAAGACTCAGGCTTCTAGAGTAACCTTTTAAAACAAGTAAAATTAAAAAATGGTTATTGTAAAAATCTAAAAAACATTTTAGTACCTATGAGGTTTTGATGAACATTAGTCATCTGGGAAGTTAACTTTGTCGATGTGCTCAGGCCACTCTGCCAAATAAATCAAGGATGATCATACGTTAGTTTGTCTCTAATACTTATCCTGCCATTCTATTGGACTTTCCCATCGTAGATGAAATATAAATGACTCCTTCCTTTAGCCTTAACCTTGATCCTTCCACACTAAGAGTATACTTTGGATTGTTTTTTTCTAAAGTACCTATATTTGCTTACATTGATACTCTTGGGCCCTTCTGTGCTCACTCACAGTATCTTCCTTTCAAGGAGTATCTGAGTGGTAGAACAGTCCTGCATGTATTGATTTTTACAGAAATATTTTTAGTTGGTATTAAAGGCCAACATCCATTGTTGGAAACTATAGTTTCCTGCCTCTTTTGATGTATCTGAGTTTGAGATTTCTCTTTCCTTCTGCCTCATTAGGTTGTATGTTTGCTTTCATTGTATAGAGTTTAGTCAGCAGCTTAAGGCTATAGAAACATTAGGTGTTAATCATGTCATCTCAGCTTTTTTTTTGTTAGCCCAGGGGGTGTATTTAGGCATGGGGTGGGAGTGGATGTTATTGGGGAAGCAGAAAGTGGTCACTTTAAAATCAGAAGTGATATCTTTCTGTGGTTGAATGCAATAATAACTGAGCAACTTTTCAAGTTTGGAGCCTGGGAGGGAAAACCCAACTGTCTGTTATTCTGGTCTCATTCACCTTTGGCCTGTTTGAAACCAAAGCCTGCTGTGTGCCTCTCCCAATTCATTTGCTCCTTGCATGGAAATATATGACACCTAATCTTATTCTTCAGCAGATACTTGAGAACATTGTTGCTACAGCCTCAAAAATTAGATTTTTAAAAGTCAGAGAGAGCCTCTTGAGCACTTTTTCCTACATTCTTGGGCTTACTTCTTATCTAGGCTTTTTGCCCTGGAGAATCACAGATGTGGTACTAATGTCCCCATTCTCTGTGCTGCTTCTTCAGTGCTACCTTGCCCTGGCCAAAGGAGGCTTATCTGATGACCATGTCCTCATCCTGCCCATTGGACACTACCAGTCAGTGGTGGAGCTTTCAGCAGAGGTGGTGGAAGAGGTGGAAAAGTATAAGGCTACACTGAGAAGGTTCTTTAAGAGTCGAGGGAAACGGTGTATCCTATTTGAGAGAAATTATAAGAGCCATCACCTCCAGCTACAGGTAGGTACAGGAACAGGAACTTGGAAGGGTACTATGGGGATCTTAATGTTGAGAAATAAATATTTAAATAATGTTTAACTTTAATATTTAAAATATTTAATATGAATTTAATACCTAAAATATTTAATATGGATTTTCACATTAATATTTAAATAATGTTCATTGGAAAGGTTATTTAAAAGGTGATAACCCCAGAGATTTCATAGGGAAATGTGTGGTCAGTACAAGTGAATAGCACAGATAGTAAGTGCCTTGTTTAGAAAAAGAATGGGTTTAGGCCAGGTGCAGTGGCTCACGCCTATAATCCTAGCACTCTGGGAGGCTGAGGTGGGCGGATTGCTCAAGATCAGGAGTTCAAAACTAGCCTGAGCAAGAGTGAGACCCCATCTCTACTATAAATAGAAAGAAATTAATTGGCCAACTAATATATATAGAAAAAATTAGCCGGGCATGGTGGCACATGCCTATAGTCCCAGCCACTCGGGAGGCTGAGGCAGTAGGATCGCTTGAGCCCAGGAGTTTGAGGTTGCTGTGAGCTAGGCTGACGCCACGGCACTCTAGCCCGGGCAAAAGAGTGAGATTCTGTCAAAAAAAAGAAGGGAAGGGAAGGGGAGGGGAGTGGAGGGAGGGAGGAAGGGAGGAAGGGGGAAAGGAAAGGATTATAAGGAAGGGAGTCTTTTGTTTATAGAGGCCCAAAATGAGTGAAGGCTTAGAGGTAGGAAATATCCTGCATGGAGCTAATAGCTAAAAATATTAAGATTGTTTATAAATAATTGGTAATTGTGGTGGTTTTCTTTCTGGCACATTTGTTAAGTTTTCAAATGGGCCTAACTCTGCCACATATATTACAGTGGAGCTGGCAAAGGCTTGGTGACAAAGAGATCTCTCTTAAGCCTTTTCTGCATCAGAGATTGGCTCCCACATGTGGCAGGCTATCTCATAAGTTTAAGTCCTTACAGACAAGCTGACACAGGCTTGTCTGGCTTGAGGAGAGTCTATGCTGAGGGGTGTCTCTCTACCCCTGTGATGGATTTGCTACTTCTCAGAGATTGTGCAGATACAGCCTCTCTGGGAACTGCACAAAGAACTTCTCCTTTTCTCCCCCCAACCCCTCTAGGTCATTCCTGTGCCACTCAGCTGCTGCGCTACTGATGACATTAAAGATGCCTTCATTACCCAGGCACAGGAGCAACAGATAGAGCTGTTAGAAATACCAGAGCACTCTGACATCAAACAGGTGAAATCAGAGGGGATGGTGATGTTCAGGGAGGAGTAAAAGTCTGGTGTTTGACATGTCGAATCTGAGGAACTATCAAGGCATTCCCAAAATGTTAAATAGGCAGTGGACAATTTGGAACTAGAGCACTGGGTATTGATTAGACTGGAGATGAATATGGCATTACTGTAAAGTCTTAGTGTTTTCCTGGGAAGAGCAAGAAATTAGAAATTTAGAAAGATGGATGCCACTAGGAAGATACTGGTAATATCTTCTAGTTTGGCTGTTTAAACTCTAGTTCCACTAAACAGGTTGGGATTTATAGCTACTCACACATTCTTTTTCTTGTGCATCTAGACTAAATTCTTTGCCAGGAGATGAGCTAGAATTTGAGATTTATAAAGCATTATTGTATGTCCTCATACAACTCTGTTTACTTTAGATTGCACAGCCAGGAGCAGCGTATTTTTATGTTGAACTTGACACAGGAGAGAAACTTTTCCACAGAATTAAAAAGAATTTTCCTTTGCAGTTTGGAAGGTTTGTATGTTTTTCTTCTTTTCAATGTATTTTCACTAGACCTACTATGAATAAAGTGGTAGGTTACGTGGACAATTGATAAAAAGCCAAATAATAATGGGTCCAAGGCACCCATGACCTTAAAGTTAAACCTGAGAGACAGATTTAGAGGGCAGAGATTGGGGTGAGGGCATTCCAGCTAGAGGAAGTAAAGTGCTGCCATTAATTGAGCATATGCTCTGTGCCAGGCATGGTGTCCAGGACTTTACATACATTGCCTTAATAATCTTCACAACTCTGTAAGATAGGTTCTGTCATCTCAGTTTACCAATGTGGAGAATGAGGCTCTAGCATACTACCTGGTAGAACTTTTCACAGCAATGGAAATGCTCAATAATCCATACTGTCCAATACTGTAAACACTAGCCACATGTGGCTACTGAGCACTTGAAATGTGGCTAATGTGACAGAGGAACTGAATTTTTAATTTTACTTAATTTTATTTAATTTAAAATTAAATAGCCACACCCGGCTAGTGGCTACTATATTGGATAATAGGCTCTAGAGGTGTTAGGTAATTTGTCCATGGTCACACAGTGATAGGTTCAAACTCAGGCCTGGTGAACCCCAAACTTCATTACTCTGCAGTCTTCTAAAGGCCTGGAGGAAGCTTCATTTCTGCTTCTCATATCAGGCAGAACATGACTGCAAAGCTATACAAGGAATAGCATAAGTTAGGCAAAGATTGAGAATAGGGAGTTGCTAACAGGAAGAGACAGTATTGAGGGGAGTAAAAAATGTGTGGAACAGAGTGTCTGATGCTGGTGTCTGTGATTAGCTTCCATTTTTTCCTCCTTAGTTAGAACTGGGCTTTGAGTGAGCCTTGACCCCTTCGTGGACTAATTTGGAAAGCCTCCAAGAGGTTGCTCCATTGGATAAGTCCAGTAACAGTAGTAATTGTCTACATTTTCAAAACAATAATTTTTAAATGGGAACAGGTGTGGCATGAGGCAGGCGAGGTGGCTCACGCCTATAATCCTAGCACTCTGGGGGACCGAGGCGGGGAGGATTGCTTGAGGTATTGAGTTCGAGACCAGCCTGAGCAAGAGCAAGAGACCCTATCTCTACTAAAAAATAGAAAAAAATTAGCCTGTCAACCAAAAATAGAAACAAACAAAAAAATTAGCTGGGCGCGGTAGCTTGCGCTTGTAGTCCCAGCTACTCGGGAGGCTGAGGCAGGAGGATCACTTGACCCCAGGAGTTGGAGGTTGCTGTGAGCTAGGCTGACACCATAGCACTCACTGTGGCCTGGGCAACAAATCGAGACTCTGTCTCAAAAAAAAAAAAAGTGTGTTATGAGCTTCAGACATCTAATGTGATCTTTTTGTTGTTGTCTCAGCAACAGATACTGATCACATTGATGGCATAGGCACATGACTGCAGATACATACAGGCATATAAAGCACATAAAAGGGAGTTTTCTGAATGGTTTTATGCTCATGATAGTTTTATGTTCAATACTATTTTTCAAAATACTAATTTACAGTGAAATATTAATAGCATTTTATAGTTAATAAAATACTTGAGATGACCTTTTTTTCCAGCTGTACAAGAAAGGTGGGCATATCTTCATTTTACATATGAAGAAGGCGGCTCAAAGTTTGCCCAGGGAGCTAGAACCTGAGCTTAGGTTCTTTGACTTTTAGAGAACTCATGTGATTTGTTTCTAACTTTTCTGTTTACTCTAGTTTTGAAGTAGAAAATGAACCATATAAATGTGTAATGGAATTATGTCTAATATATCAAAATAAGTAAAAATATAAAGCAGTAGCAATTTGAAGGCAACTTATGTGTGTGTGTGTGTCTGTATGTTGTTATCCTTTAGTCGTGAGAGCCAGGATAAGTTGTTTGTTGACATTGAGCTTGTGCTGCTGTGCCTATGAAGATCTTACTCTCTAAGAAGGAGAGGCAAAGGAATTTTAAATCAGACGCTGGGTATGACGCTGGGTGCCTGACTCTGTACCATGCATGTCCCCTGAGCAAACTCCTGGTCTTGTTGAGATAACAAAACTACAGTAAGGCAGGATGTAATCACAGCCAGTATGGTGCTTTGATTGTATTATCTGTGTACCTGACAAAAACCCTGTAAGGTGGGTGCTTTTATTCCCATTTCATAGCGGGGGAAATCAAGACTCAGAGATGAAGTAATCAGTCCAGGTCATAGACAGCACGTGGCAAAGCTGGGAATGGAATTCAGCCTCTGATCTTACTCACACTAGGGCCTGCCCTCTTTCTACTATGCCATGTTGCTTCTCTAAGTACAAATAATGTAGTTCCAAGTTGTTCAAGAGAGGGAGAAGTAAATGGGGTTTGAAGGATCAGCAAAGAGGTGGGACCTGAGCTGGTCATTTAAAATGGTTACAATTTTGAAAGAAAGGAGTGCAGAGATGGTACTCAGGGCAGGAAAGCAAGTCAGACATATTCGCATACCTTCTTTGGGTAATGCTGAGGAGAGCTCTCAGGCTGGAGAGGACTATAGGGAGGAGGGAGTTTGGGCCTGTTATTGTCCTTTTTGACTTCTTTGTGCTTTCTGCAGGGAGGTCCTGGCTAGTGAAGCCATCCTTAATATTCCTGACAGGTCTGACTGGAGGCAATGTCAGATGAGCAAGGAAGATGAGGAGACCCTGGCTCGTCGCTTTCGAAAAGACTTTGAGCCCTTTGACTTCACTCTGGATGACTAAGCAAAGGGAAAGATACTTTTTGAACTTCACAGGAAGTACTGGAAGTCTATTTTTAAAGAAACTACAGTCTCCCATGGGGACTGTTTCCCTGCCTCTTTTTTGGGGCATTCCCATGGAACCTGCCTGCAGCAAGAGGCCCAAGATTGAATTTTTTTTGGGGGGGAGAAATGTCATTCTAGGATGAAAATCCTATGTTAAAAGCATGTCTGTCATCCAGCTCAAGCACAGCTTCTATTTATCAATATTATCAAACATCTTTAAACTATCAAATAAAATCCAAATGCTTTTCCTTGGTTGAGAAACGTCTTGTATTCATGTTGCCTGTGACCATTGAAATGAGTTAGTTTGTGTAATAGGAGGGGTTAGAGCTTTTGGCTCAGCTGTTATACCAGAATCACACATGGTAGTTTTCTCTCTGAGCAATGCCACATGGAGAAGGGATCCAGGCCTTTGCTGTTTTCCTCTTATATTCCTCATTTTATTCATAGATAAGAGCCCATTCAGTCTTTCAGATATTTAACTCCTATGTGCCAGGCATTTTGCTAGGCTCTAGGAGTATAGCCATGTCCTAATGTGTAGTCCCTCTTGTCCCAGAGTATAATTGGGGAGCATACAGTATAATTTAAAAGACAAGGGCTAGATTTAAGAACAGAAGGCAAATTCTGCTTTGGATATGTTGTTTTAGATGCTTGAGATATCCAACTTGTATCTGGTTTTCTGTTGGAAAATTCTAAACTCATGGAGATCTGGGTTGGTGATAAGGCTTTGGGGATCATCATAGGCCATAGGTGAAATTATGAGGATGGATGAAAAAAGGAGTATGTGGAAATAGGGTGATCCAACAAGTACCTGGAGAAGGAACAGAGAGAGAGATCACAGGAGAATGCCATATCTTGGAAGCCAAAAGAAAAATAATTGCTCCTTTTATGTTGGGCACTTATGGCCCAGACACTGTTTTACTTAATCTTAACACAATCTATAGGTATTATTACTTCCATTTTACACATGAAAAAACAGACTAGCAAAATTAAAGACTGTGGAGCCAGGGCCAATTGGCCTAGGATTTAAACAAACAAACAAAACTATGCATTGTCCAGAGAATGAGGACATTTAAAGAGCGAACTTAGAAAACCAACCTGGTTTCCACAAAAATGGCCACTTCGGGTCAGCCCAATCATCAGTATCGTTGGGTCCTCAGCGTCTCTCCCTAGTTCTTTTGAGTGGGAATTGCAAGATTGTAGCCTCCCTTGTGGAGATTGGACACACACTAGCACTAGCTATGCTGTGCACATAGAAAATGAGGGGCTTCTTACAGTTACAATAATCTGCACCACAATCCTCTGTGCAGTCTGCCCAGTTCTAAGGAATGTGTCCTTAGAAGCACTATTTGCCATCATCTCCAAGTCTCATGATACTCCAGCTCCATGGAAACCACACACATAGGGAAACCATAACCTCCCAGACCATATGTTACTGATGACCTATAACTTGGTCTGTATCATGCAGCACCCAACTTTCTGGTTGCACTGACATACTTCAAGGATTTGATTCCACACTTATTCCTACACCTGCAGAAATTGAGATTCCCAGGTTCTGCGAAGCGTGTGGCCGACTCTAATGGAAAACTGGGTGCTGGTTCCCCTATGCTAAGGCAACCGGGAAGCATTTGTTGCACCAACAGCACTCCCAAAGCTTGCCTTTGCAGCCCTACAACACGTGTAAGAAATAATTGTCACAATGAAGAACTACCGCGCTGGCAAACTCCCAACTGGAGGACTGCCTGATAGCAAGCTCCGTGAGGCATTTAGGGAAAAGCTCCCTAAGACTCGAGGAACATTCTTTAATCCGGAATAGCGTCACATCCCTGAGTCGTTTGGGATTACAGAAGAGATCCTCAAACCGATATATAGAAAGATACAGTGAATTATGAAGGCTAATTCATCAGCGGGCCTGTTAACGTAGGATTCTTTCAAGTTCTTCGGATTCCGCAGTATTAAATCATTGGTGGTCTTTGCAAATGCCGGCTCAGCAGTTGGAGAAATTGGATAGACTAGAGGGGTCTGAAGGGGATCTGAAGGTGAAGTGTAGACAGGAGTGGGGACAAGGTGAAGTTTAGAAAAGAAGACGAGAGAGACTGGTATGGAGAGTGATTTGATGGAAATGTGGGGTTTGGAGAGATCTTTTAAAGACTAGGAAAACACTTGTGGATCATCTCAGCCAGGAAAATGCCTGGGGGACTTAGAGAGCGGCCCGAGCGCTTCTATCAGTCTCCCCACCCTTTCTCCGGCTGGGTTCCTGCGGCGCCCAGAGGGAACGTGGGGCGGGGCTTTTCCTGCGCCAGCTACCGGAAGTGACGCATGTATCTCGCGAGAAGGGAGGTGCAGGAGTCTCGGCGGCCCGGAACCGGCCTTGGAACAACGGCGGGGCTTGAGGCCGCTTCCCCTCCCGCCCCATGGAGCGGCCCCCGGGGCTGCGGCCGGGCGCGGGCGGGCCCTGGGAGATGCGGGAGCGGCTAGGCACCGGCGGCTTCGGGAACGTCTGTCTGTACCAGCATCGGGTGAGGCGGGGCGCGAGAGGGAGCGGCGGTGGGTTTGTCAGAGCATCTGTGGACTCAGGGCTGTCAGTGTGTGAGAGATTGTTGCTGAGGCTTTGAGCAGTATTTGTGTGGGACAGTGAGCTTGTGTGCGTGTGTGTGAGAGAGAGAGAGAGGAAGAGAGAGAGAGAAAGAGGGAGAGACTGAGATACTGTGCCTGTGAGCCTGGTGACTGAGTCCGAGATTGTAGCTGAGGTCCTGGGGCAGTGTGGTGAGATAGAGCTATTTGGGGGAACTTCGGTATGAGTGTCAAGATGTGCCCCGGTGAATATGACACTCACCTGGATGTGCCCATAGTGAGTATGATAGTGCGTATATATCTCTTTGTGAATGTAGAGTGTCAGTGTGTGAGGCTGATGCATGTCAGAGTGTGTATGTGTGAGCACGAATGGGCGAGAAAATAGGACTGAAGAGGGGAGTTGCCTTTTAGAAATTGTGTGTGCTTGGAGACTGTGATATCAGTGGGGACGGGAATAGACAAGGAAGGTTTCATGGTGGGTCTAGAATTATGCCTTTGGAAGCATAGGAAGGCCTCGGAGTTGGGGATGCATTCCAGGTAGGGAATAGAATGAGGGTAAGCTGGTACAGATCATGGCTTCAAAGAGGAGAAAAAGTGAGGAGGGGGCCATAGTGGGTTAAAGACAGCCAACATCACTCAGGTATTTTACTTTGATTTAGTTGAAATTGTTTAATCATTATAGCAGCAGTTAATGATCATGTTTGGGTCATGTGTCATTTGATATGTCAGTAACAGCCATGAACCCTTCCTTTCCCCAGAAAGATGCACATCCACACAACCTTATGCATGGCTATTTGAGGACAGTGCTTTCCTGAAGGACATGTTAGGTGAATAGACCCTAACTAATAATCCCTGAGTATAGCCTTTGTTTTGTTACCCATAAAGTAGGTATAATGATGTATATACATCATGGATCTGTTTGAAAGTTAAATAAGATGATGTATGTAAAGCTAAGTAAGTACCCATGAAAACCCTCAAATGTTAGCTCCTCCTGCTGCTGTGTTGTTGCTGTTATCATAATCCTCATCATCATTAATTGGCCTTAAAAAAGGAAATGTTAAGATAAAAGTGGTGTTCTAGGTAAATAATTTTGTAAAGGATAAATTTGGGAAAACATGGACAATATGAGCAGTTAAGATGTTACTAAAATGCCTATACTTGGCCTGTGAATAGACAAATGAAGAGGAAAAATCATAATTTCCTGTCTTAAGGACCATGGTGTGGGGAGAGAGCCTATAATTTGTGGTGGGAGAGAGGGGTGATAGTAAACCTTGGAGAATAGGCATGTTTGTGGGGCAATTAGAATGACAAATGAAACTGATAGAACTGAGGACATTCTGTGAAGCAGGCTTCTAGACAGAGCATAGGAGAAAATCTTGGAGAGAGGGAGAGAATGGAAGGTGAAGCTGATAGCCAGACAAGTAGTAAATTTAATAATTCTCACCATAAGAGGGGATGTGATACACACAAAGGGGGAAAAAAAAAGAGGGAGCCAAGTACTTGCAGCAGAATGTTGCCTGTGTTATGTAAGCCTGCCCATTGGCCTGGTTATAAGGAAAAAAGAATGCATGCTGGCTTGCTTTTGTGACTTCTCTTGGTCCCTGGCTGAAGATGGATGAATTCATCACTTTTTGTTTTATTGTGATAAAGTATACATAACATAAAATTCACAGTTTTAACCATTTTCTAAGTGTACAGTTTAGTAGCATTAAGTACATTTACACTACTGTACAACCATCACTACCAACATCTCCAGAACTTTTTCGTCTTCCTAGACTGAAACTCTGTACTCATTAAACAGTTAACTCCCCATTTCCCCCTCCCCTAACCCCTGGCAGCACCATTCTACTTTCTGTCTCTATGGAATTAATTACTTTTTAAATAGAAGAGATTTGGGCCCCTTTACAATCTTAGAAATCTTTCAGGAACTTTCTCATTGATCAGAGTGCCCTTCTCCAAAACTGGGACATTTGACAACTGGGCCTGTAGTGAGGAGAGAAGGAATACTCTATAATAGTGGTCCCCAACCTTTTTGGCACCAGGGACCATTTTCATGGAAGACAGTTTTTCTATGGACTGCAGGGGCGGGGGTGGTTCCGGATGATTCAAATGCATTACATTTATTGTGCCCTTTATTTCCATTATTATTACATTGTAATATATAATGAAATAATTGTACAACTCACCATAGGTTGGGAACCCCTGCTCTGTAACAAGACTTGGAAAAAACAGCATCATTCCTTTTCCAAGCCTGACTTTGGGTTTGCATTTACAGCTTTCAAGATCCTCATGTTTTGGTGGAAGCTATGTCCCAATATTTCATCTACATCTCTTAAAACACCATGAAGAAGAGGAGAGGATATGAGATGGTTTATTTAGCTAATTACTGTGCTCTGGGTGCTAATGATGCCAAAATCAACAAGAGCAACAATTGACAAGGATATTCTCTGCCTAAAGGAGATTTCAAGTCTAGTGAGAGAGATAGACGTGGAAACCAAGTATAATGTAGTAACCTATATAATGAAGGTATTTGCAAAATGATTTGGAAGCATGGCAGAACAGCCAAAGAACTTTTCCTATGGAATAGAGTAGCAGTTCTCAAAGTGTGTTTGGAAAAACTAATCTGATGAAATCTTTTTTTTTTTTTTTTTTTTGAGACAGTCTCTCACTCTGTTGCCTGGGCTAG